CCCTGAGTAGCGCAACTTAGCTCTTCCACAGCACACTGGCCAAAGTGGTCCCTGAGTAGCGCAATTTAGCTCTTCCACAGCACACTGGCCAAAGTGATCCCTGAGTAGCGCAACTTAGCTCTTCCACAGCACACTGGCCCAAGTGGTCCCTGAGTAGCCAACAGTAGCTCTTCCACAGCACACTCACCAAAGTGGTCCCTGAGTAGCCCAAAGTAGCTCTTCCACAGCACACTGGCCAAAGTGGTCCCTAAGTAGCCCAGCTTAGCTCTTCCACAGCACACTGGCCAAAGTGGCCCCTGAGTAGCGCAACTTAGCTCTTCCACAGCACACTGGCCAAAGTGGCCCCTGAGTAGTGCAACTTAGCTCTTCCACAGCACACTGGCCAAAGTGGTCCCTGAGTAGCCCAAAGTAGCTCTTCCACAGCACACTCACCAAAGTGGTCCCTGTTCACCAAAGTAATCCCTGAGTAGTTCAACGTAGCTCTTTGACAGCACACTCACAAAAGTAATCTCTGACTAGTTCAACTTAACTCTTCCACAGCACGCTCGCCAAAGTGATCCTTGTTCACCAAAGTAATCCCTGAGTAGTTCAACGTAGCACTTCCACAGCACATTCACCAAAATGACCTCTAAGCATTGACACCACATTCACCAATCTGATCCCTGAGTAGCTAAACCTAGCTTTTCCACAGCAAATTCACAAACCGATTTCTAAGTAGCTCATCTTAGCTCTTCCACAGCAACCACAGTTCTTAGTAGCGCAACTTAGCTTCTCCACAGCACATTTACCAAAGTGATTCCAAGGTAGTTGTAGAGTTGCAATGTACTTATCAAGCCAACAAAGGCTGCGTTTTTCTCACCCGTAGGCCTGTCGGTTGTTAGGTTTTTAGAACTTCGGACTTCAGTACGCCCGGTCGCCCAACTTAGCTCTTCTATAGCACACTCACGAAGTGGTCTCTGAGTAGCCCAACTTAGCTTTTCCACAGCGCACTCACCAAAGTGGTCCCTGAGTAGCTTAGCCTTTCCACAGCACACTCACCAAAGTAGTCCGCGAGTAGCCCAACTTAGATCTTCCACAGCACGTTGACCAAAGTAATCC